AGCTATATATTTCCCCACTAGCCAAGACTCAGGGTCCGCTCTCTCTCTCTCTCTCCCCAATGAGACGGACCCCCGAGCTCGGGAATAAAGTCTTTGAAATGAAGACCCTTTGTCTCGGTTTTTGTTAATTACCTGAACCCCAACAATATCCCACTTATCTGATCCTTTTCTACCCCTGCTGTTACTATCTTGACTCAGGCTTCATCTTTTTTGTCATGACTAATTGCAACAGCGTCTTCCCTCATGCCTTTATTTATTTTGGAAAACTTCATGAATTTTCATGTCATCTTTGTGCAGTGGGCACGCTAGACTTCTCTGTGTCTTCCCAATTTTAATGTAGTAGTGCTGCCAAAGTGAGCACCCTCCTGCCTACTTGTGAAGCTAAGAAAGTTTAAGCTGCAGGGCCCATCACTTGCCATATGGTCACATGGTCATGTTTTATACAGTTTGTAAAATATATTTAAACCACAACTGGTTAAAACTGCTGTCTCTTTCCACTGAGTTTCCTTGGTAACATTTTCTCTTGTATTAGGTGGTATTGGAGTTGCCTCAGACATTTTTGAGATCCAGCTAAGTGGAAGTTGATTTGGGGAATAAATTTAGCTTGGGTTTAGGGGGACATCTATATGTGGTCTATATAACTTCTATTTGTAGCTATTACCCAGGTATAGGAAAGGCTTCTAGAAATAATCTTATTGTCTACACTGTCTACCTTTGGATCTAATTTTGTATTCACAAGTCTGTATTATTTTCATAAAGAAGTCCCACCTCATAAACTGTATAAGCTTCAGGTCCCACTAAACCTGGATTTTCCTCTAAGACACATATGTGACTCAGCTGCTTTTGCTCTTTCTTGTCATTGCTTAGAGGATAAAGTCTAATATTCAAATTCTTTTTGCAAATATGTTCCCATGTGCCTCCCTCCATTCATTTGTACATGTTGATCCTTTTATCTACAGTTAGTGAGCTTTTATGTATCCTCCAAGCCTCCCTGAAGTCTTGACAGCAGCAGCAGCTGTTGAGGCACTTCCTTAGCCTTATTTTGTAAAAGGTATCTGTGTGCTTACTGGACATGTATTCCAATTGTTGACTTGCAAGCTTGTCTCCTGGACTGGCTGGCAATTTCCCACTGTGGAGTCCCTCTTTCCATCATTGTATCCCCCGGGCCTAACCCACCATCACTTAGGAGACTGGTGTGCAAAACATCCATCTTCTTTTTTTAAAGCGTAGGACCCTTTAAGAAAATGAAATAGTAAGTGCATTCCTAGATAATATTCTAAAATGCCTGCGAAAACCAGCGCCATCTTGAAGCAGGTGTGCAGTTCCATTCACTCAATCCCTTCTCCCACCCCATCCTCAGGCTGGAGTCAGAAACTCATGGGATATATGCAGGGAAATCTTTGACCTATATCTGAACTGAAGTGAAGCAGTAGGGTCAGATAAAAGAGTTCCAAGGAAGATGACAGAAGCTTTAAGGAGGAACGAGGTACCGAGGACAGAACACGGGGGTGGTAGAGGGTGTAAGGTTCAACTTCCCTGCTCTGAAATGCCAGTGGTCCCTAAGCCCGTGTCCTCCTTTTGGGGGTAATAGGGCTTCCTTTACACGATGAAGAATACACAACTCGGAGACCCTGTGAAAGAGCTTAGCCCGCAAAAGAGCTCACTGAACGGGAACGGCGGTGAATATTCCGTCTCCCCCCTGGCCGGAGCCCGTCCCCACCGCCACCTCTTCATTTTGCAATTTGCAGTCACAGCGTTTCACCTCGTCTCATAGGAGGAAAGGCTAGGAGGAGTGTGTGTGTGTGTGTGTGTGTGTGTGTGTATATGTATATGTGTGTGTCTCTGTGTGTGTGTGTGTGTGTGTGTGTGAAGGCGGTGTTGCTGGTGGGCTTAACTCCCTGCTTGCCCGGAGGAGGCAGAATGGTGGGAAAGCTCTGGCCCCACTCAAAATGGAGCCAAGTGACCGCCTCGTCTAAGATGGCGGCTCCCCCGCCTCTGGGCTCAAGGTACTCAATGTCCATTGGGCACCTAGAGTAGACGATCGGGTCCAAAGGTAGCCTAGTCCCGCCCCCCTTTCTCAAGGCGGTGCCCCGCCCCATGACGTCTCGCGGGAGCAGGCAGGCCCTGCCTTCCCCTCCTCTGCCGCGGGGCCTTGGCTTGGCTGGCCCTCATAAGATGGCGGTCGGGTCGCCTCCTCGATGCAGCTCTGCCACTCTCAATATGGTAGCTGTTTACCCCATATTTCTCCTCCCCTCTCCGCCTCAACTTCCTCATTGTTTTGAATAAACTTTATTGACTACTCCGAATTGCCTACCACCGCTACCGGGCTTCTCCCGGTGACTTTTCGGGCCATTTTTCTCCGACCTGGCCGCCGGTTCGTCTCCTTCCTCGTTGGTTTGCTCACGGCAAGCTCTTGCCGGCCCAGCGACAACGACGCTTGCCCAGTCTCTGGACAGCCGCCGGACTAGGCCTCAGCCGCGGTCTCCAGTAGGCCCTAACAGCCGGCCCGGGGCAGAGCTGTGGAGAAAGCTGCCCGGAAGCACAGCCTGGCGGCCAGGGCCGCACGATCCAGCGAGTGGTCTGAGGGGCCGGCGCACTAGGTTCGCGGCGTTGCCGTGACGATCCCAGAATTCGGCGCGCGCTGCCGGTTGGGCCAGAACTGCCGGCCGAGCCTCCGCTGAGGGAGGCGCCGAGCCGCTCCGCAGCGAGCCCGGCCGCCGGCGCGTCGGTGGGACTGAGCTCTGCGGGCGGGAGGAATCCCTGCAGCTTTGCGGATGCGGAGGTCCCTCTAGGGCTGGGGACCGAAGACATTCTTGTCGGGTTGGGGGCGTGAGGAGGTTCCTGTCAGTTTGGGAAGCGCGAAGAGATTCTTGTAAGTTTCGGGGCTGCAAGAATATTCCTGTCAGTTTCGAGATGTACGAGGAGATCCCGGTCAGTTTGGGGGGAGAGGGGAGCCCTCGTCAGTTTGAGGGGGTTGGGAGGAGATGCCTGCCTGTTTCCGAGCGGTGGGAAGAAAACAAATCCTTCCTCAGTTGCAGGAGTGTAAGGAAATGCTAGTCAGTTTCAGGGGTTTTGTAGCGGTCCTTTTTAGTTTCAGGGGCGCGACGAGAACCCGGTCATGTTTGAAGTAGAGGACAAGCTGATGAGTTTTGCAGTTGAGATTTATTTCGGTTTTTGGGGTGATGAGGCTCCCGACTGCTCTGGGGTAGAATGATTGGGAGAGTTCTCAGAACACGACCCTAGAACTGTGATTTGAGTTGGGCGCCTCTGCCTTGTTCATGAAGGCAGCGAGGTAATTTGCGAGTAATCCGAGCCCACACCTAGAGATCCCTCATCTCTCTCCAGTTGCTCGTATTTAGGGGGTGGGGGTGGGAAAGAAAGAAGAGGCTTTTGCTGAGCTCCCCCAGCCTCATTCTTGAGACTAGGGCTGGTGTCATAATAAAGAGCGCCCTGGGAAGCAAGGTTTCGAGCAAGGAGAGGGTCAGTGAGGGATTAAAGAAGCTTCCTTAAAGGCGTTAGATATTGCCCTGAAGCCCGGAAAGAAGTTCTCACTGACGCTGGGGGCTAAGGAAGGTAGGGAGTGTAAAAAAAAAAAAAAGCCTCGACGGCCCAGCTCCGTTCTTTATTTGTTAAAGCAATCCTGGAGGCGGGTGCACTTTCTCCGGTTGCCCCCTACAGTCGCACCAGCTGTGTTGCATCACGGCCGCGGTAACTCCCCATTTGTGAACTGTGGGTTGGTACCCTGGGAGATCTGATTTACTATAAAAAGTGTTGTTTGTGCCCAGCATTCATCCAGAAAGGACGCGTGCTGTCGCCTCTCGCTCCTCTGAAGGTTCTGAGACTGGTCCGCGGCAGAACGTTTCAAGGCCCGGCGAAGATGGCCTCGGTGCCGGTGTATTGCCTCTGCCGGCTGCCTTACGATGTGACCCGCTTCATGATCGAGTGTGACATGTGCCAGGACTGGTTTCATGGCAGGTAAGGAAGGCAGGCCAGGTGGCACAGAGTGCAGTGGCCAGATCTCACTCGCTTCGCTTCTTTCTCGGCTCTGTTTTAGGTTCCCACTCAGAAACTTTTCCCCTCTCGCTCCCTGAGAATGAACTCCAGTCCACCTCCCAGACCCAGGTTCCTCCATCCCTTCTTGCAGACTAGGGCCTAGCTGATATTGGCTTCTGGTTCCTCCATTTTCCCCCCTCATTTCCCATATGTATTTTTTCTTTTTCACCCTTCTTTTGATTTTTTTTTTAAATTTAGAAAGTATTTTCTTTCCAGCCCAAAGTATTATTTTTGTATTCTGGAAATTTTGTGTTCTGGCAGTTTTGTATTCTGGCAACTGTGTTTTGGCTTTGGAGGGAACATTGCTGTAATTTTGAGATAGTTGAATACAGCAAACATGGATTTGAGTTGTGGCTTTGCAACTCACTATCAGAGTGACCTTGGACAAGTTGCTGCCTCTGAGCCTCATTGTATTCACTGTTAAAACATATCTAATACATCCTTCCTGATTATTTAAAGCATTTTGTATGCACTCAATAAATGGAGGCAGAAATGCAGTAGTATTTTATTTCTATAGTATTTATCTGCAGAACCATCCAACCAACTTGAATTAAACAGAAGAGATATTGGGTAAAACAACAGCAGTAAAACCATTAATGAATTCCTTCCAGTTTACCATGTGTGCACATAAGCACCTGTCATCCAGGATTCCAGAGAGGTTAGTGTGTGGACTAAAACTGTAATATTATCCCATTATTGGGACTTAAATCCCAGCTATGGAAAGAAAAACATGAGAGGGATTTGTACACTGGAGTACAACGAAACAGTATATGGCACCCTCCTCCTGTTGCATTGTTGTTAGATTCTAGAATTTTCAGTTTTCACTAGTCCCTTTCAAAGGAACTGTTCCTGTTATCACACCCAAGACCAAACTAGAGATGCTGGTGCTGCTAAAATTCTGCTCTCAGAACATCCAAATTCATATTCAACGGATCGTTATTGAGTATTCACTGTGTGCCAGGTGCAGAGTTGCGTTTACTGCTTCATGTTATTTCTTTCAGGGGGAACAGACCTAGAGGGTGGGGTCTTTTCCTTTCCCCTGGAAATAAGTGGGGATTCAGATGTTTTTCGGGATTCCTGGTATTTTTGCTAGTGCTGATCAAGTCACTCTTTGCCCAAGATTCTTTCAGTGGTTCCCCTACAGAATAAAATTCAGTCATCTTTGTGTGACAGACAAGATCTTTTGTGATCTACTTGTTGTATCATTTCCCACCACTCCTCCTCCTTTGTTCTTTATGTTCCGGCAAGACAACTACTTATAGTTCTGGGAAATTTTTTTTTTTAAGATTTTTATTGGGGAATTGTGGGGATGGGAACAGCGCTGGGGAATTGGGGAAGGGGAGCAGACAAGTTGCTGTCCTTTTGTTCTTCAGTCCAGTTGTGGAGGACGTTGCTTCACTGGCCCAAGTTGGCACCATCATTGCGCTCCTCCCGGGCGAGGCAGATCAGTCGCTGGCTTCTGGACGGCCGCTCACTGCAGCTGCTGGCCGCTCACGCTGGCTGCTGGCTATACACGGTAGCCCATGGCAAACCCACTGCAGCAGGGGTTGCAGCCTACGCCGTCGCTGGTGACTCACGGCAGCCCAGCTCCAGGTCGAGGTGTTGTTCACCATCTTAGCTGTAGAGGGCGCAGTGTCACTGGCCCTCATATGTGGGATCCGAACCAGGGCCCTCTGGCGTCCCAAGCCATTTCTTAATCATCGCGCCACTCGGCCGGCCCAGTTCTGTGAAATTTTTATACTCCTTTGTAACTCTTTCTTTTTTTAAGATTTTATTGGGGAATTGGGGGAGAACACAGCATTGGGGAATTGGGGCAGGGGAACAGACAAGTTGCTGTCCTTTTGTTCTTCAATCTAGTTGTGGAGGATGTCGCTTCACTGGCCCATGTTGGTATAATCATTGCGCTCTTCCTGGGTGAGGCAGATCGGTTGCCGGCCACTGGACGGCCGCTCTCGGTGGCTGCCAGCCACACAAGGTAGCTTATGACAGCCCACTGGAGCTCCACTGCAGCCTATGCTGTCGCCGGCGATTCACGGCAGCCCAGCTCCAGGTCGAGGTGTTGTTCACCATCTTAGCTGTAGAGGGCGCAGTGTCACTGGCCCTCATGGGATCCAAAATGGGGACCTGCTGCTCAGAGCTGACGTCCCAAGCCAACTCTTAACAAATGCACCACTCGGCCGGCCCCTCCTTTTAACTCTTTGTCTTTGCACATGCTATTCCCACTAATCTCCTTCCTTTCACAACTTATAGCATTCCTCCACTGTAAAAGGCCTTCCTCTGGCTTCTCATTGCACTTTGTGTACATCCTTATCAAAAGTCATTGTTTCATCATACCATAGTTCTAAATACACCTGTGTCACTCGTTAGCCAGAGAGCTACCTGAAGGCATTGATGTCATCTTTTCATTTTTGGTATCCCCAGAACCTAGAGTACATTTTAAAATTAAATTTATTGAAGTAACATTGGTTAATAATGTTATATAAATTTTATCTGTACAGCATTATAATTCAATATCTGTATACTGTATTGTGCACTCATCATCAAAAGTCTAGTTTCCTTCCATTACCACACATTCGACCCCCTTTACCCAATTCGCCCTTCCCACACTCCCCCCCCTTACATTTTTGAATGAACAAGTGAATGAGTCTTCTTAAAAAAAGCTATTCCTTGTGGCCCTTACTTTGGATTGTGTGAGAAGTGTGTAGGTTCAAACCTGGAAAGTGAACTCCTACCCAGAGTATAGAAACCCTAACTTCACAGCCCAAGAACAGGAAACAGGAACAAATGCTTCCTCAGTGCTTACTATGTGCCAGGCCCCATGAAAGGGCTTTGCATAAATTATCTCAGTCTACACCCAACCCTGAAAGTTAGATGTTTCTTTTTTTCAAATAATGTTTTAAAATTTTCCTGATTATATAGGTGAGACATGCTCATTGTAGAAAATACAGAAAAAGAATAAGGAAGGAAATAAAAGTCATCTACGAGCCTACTATCCAGCACATTAACTCCCTTGTTTGACTTAGACTATAAACATATTTTTACAACATGGGATTGTAGTATAAATACCACTTTATAACCTCACTTTCATTCCTACTTAACCTTATAATGTACTTTACCAGGTCATTAAATATTCATCTAAACCTGATTTCTGATATCCCATCCTATATATGTGTCCTCAGTTACTTGGTCATTTCCTCTGTGGTTGGATGCTTACATTATTTGTACTTTTTTATATTGTAAGTATTATTGTGATGTGAGGGAAACTAGGGGTTCTGGAATTGTTTTGCATTTTTATATGGGTGCTGGTTACAATGAAAAGAATATTGTGGTGAACATCTTTGCACAGTAGAGACTTGACATGTAGAAGGAACACCACTGAGGCCTTTAAAAATTCCAAATTTACAAATATGGACATGGATTTATGGGCCAGGCCCTTCCTTAATCCATTTCTTCCAAGTTGTCAAATTTAAGTTTGTGGAATTGTTTTAAGTATTCCCTTATTATTCTTTTGATATCTGCAGGCTGGGTGTCTTCTTTTCTTTGTCAGGCTTGCTAGAGGTTTGTCAGTTTTATTGATCTTTTCAAAGAACAAGTGTTTTGTTTCATTGATTTCCTCTATCATCTTTCTATTTCAATTTCATTGATTTCTGCACTTTATTGTTTCCTTCATTCTGCTTGTTTTGGGTTTATTTTGCTCCTCTTTGCCTAATTTCTGAAGGTGGAAGTTTAGGTTATTGATTTGAGACTATTCCTGTTTTCTTTTTTTTTTTTTTAAAGATTTTTATTGGGGAATTGGGGGGATGGAAACAGCGCCGGGAATTGGGGGAAGGGGAACAGACAAGTTGCTGTCGTCTTGTTCCCCAGTCTAGTTGTGGAGGACGTTGCCCCACTGGCCCAAGTTGGCACCATCATTGCGCTCTTCCCGGGCGAGGCACATCAGTCGCCGGCTTCTGGACGGCCACTCACTGCGGCTGCTGGCCGCTCACGCTGGC